AACGAGTGACATGATGGTGCTGCGTTTAATGTTGTCATCTCATAACAAGAAGGTTGAAGGTTCAAAACCCACCTGTGTGCACCTCCCGAAACCAATTTATAAATTATCACTAGGTGAGTGAGTAAGTGGGAGTGTTAATTGTTGCCTGCCTTGATTGTAGTGAGCTGGTCCAAGGTGCACCCCACCCATCACCATATGAGTGCTGGAGATAGACACCAGCCATGACCCTGCATGGAAAAGCAGTTATGAAAATGAATGAATGGAAAAAAAAAAAGTGTGACTGTTTGAAGTAGTTTAAGTTCATCTTTGATCCAACTTACATGCTCAATACTCAGACCTTTGAGATAAAAGCATGAAAAATGTGGCCCAGTGATGAACTCTTGGAGACTGACTGCTGGAGATAATCGCCAGCTTCCCTGCAACCTGAAAAGTGAGCAAAAATAAAAATTTTAAATAAAACGGATGGATGGATGGATGGATGGATGGATGGATGGATGGATGGATGGAAAATAAAATTACCTATTAGAAAGGTTACAGAGGGATACAATGAAAGCTTTTGAAATTGTAGGTAAAAATAAACAATATGTAAGATGTGGGTTTTTTGCTTCTTTTGGTAAAAATCAATACATTAACAATTTTTTTTTCTAGTCTAAGATATTTTGAAAAAATAAAAAATAAAATCTCTCTGTGTGTGAGTTGGGGGGGTTGCATATGAAATGAGATGTCTCAGCTGGAAGCCTGAATCAGCTTTGACTTTCCACTGCTGCCACCGACAGAGAAGTCCTCCCTGTGCCAACAAGGAAGCCCCTGTAAAAAAAAAAAATAAATAAATAAAAATGTGCGTTTTCATGTGTGAACGTCTGAGACTGGATGAGGGAAATGCACGCACACGTGGATGTGTGCGTCGTGTGTGTTAAACTGACCCTAAATGACCTTGTTTTTCCATTTCCCTCCCCTGCCGTCATGTGTGGGCAGACAGAAAATCACAGCAGAGTGCTAAGCCCCCTCAAGGTACGACGACCGCATCAGAACACAATTTGGAAAGGAAATAAATTTATGCTTTATAAAACAAAGAAACTCTAATGTTATCTTTTGTATTTTATTTGAGTGGCATGTCATAATTGATACTTTATTATATCAAGCGTTTTTTCAGTATAAAAATCGTATTTTTTATGTCAAAGGTAAGGAACTCAAAATATGTTTTGGTGTCATAATGAATTGGCTGCAGCTCTGTGAGGAAAAACCTGAAAATTATGGAGGAATTAATTGAAAGCAAAATCACCTGTAGTGTTCACACGTGCATATTTTCTAATCTTTCTGACTCGGTGCACAAGTGGAGCCTGTGACTGCTAAACATTCAGCTCTGTGGAGTTAGTGGAGACTAAATAAGACAACAGGAAGAGAGATCATTGGCACCGCATTCTGAAATAATAAATAAACAAATAAATAAATAAATGTGGCAACATGTCAATGCAACTTCATTTTGAGCAAGCAGTGATCAATTGGATGTTAACGATGTTTATCCAGGATGACGTACTAAATGTTTACATCTCAGTGTTGTTAGTCCTCTAAATGTTAAAGCTGCAGTCTTTCATGGGTTGATTGTATATGTTTGATTAAACATGGCACCTTCTGAAAATGAATGCATGTGGAGGACAAGTTAATATATCCTCAGACATTTGCATGATGGTTCAGATGTTTTATATTGTAGCTGAATCTGTCTATTCATATTGTTTTATTTTGATCATCAAAACTGTTTTTCTAGCTTAAAGACACTATTTCTATTCACTCCCATTCCTTAAAATGTGTTAAATGCTGTTTATAGTAGTGAATGTGTGCATGCATGTGGTGTTGGGGGCGTACTTAGTGATGCACAAAAACTACAAGATGTTTGTGCAAACGGCTGAGTGAGAGAACAAGTCATTGCTGTGAGTGAACTACCTCATGCTACTGTTTTTAGAATAAAGATTCATTTCATTGGGGGAATGGTGGCGCAGAGGTTAGAGAGGTGGGCCTGTGATCCGAAGATCGCCGGTTCACACCCCGGCCCCGACAACATCAAAATTGTGGGTGGGGTAGGTGAATCACCAACACTTGCCCCCACCCTCATTCGCCCCACTCTGGGCCCATGAGCAAGGTCCTTAACCCCACCATGTGCTCCCTAAACAGGTCTCTCTTGAAAATGAGTTCTCGTGGCTTAATGAGACTACCTGTATAAATAAAGGCTAAATGAAAATGAAAAAAAATAAAAATTTCCTGATTCCTTGTGAGTGTTTGTGAAGCATTATATCATCATGTGTTTTTCTTCCATATATTTTTCAGCATCTTTCCTCATTCCACTTTTTTGTTTTTGTTTGCTATTTCAATAAATCATATATAAAACAGTCAGCTCATTCAACATAATACTGCTATGACTTTTGGGATTGGTGCAACTTTAGCTTTTTGAAATATTTAGCCTTTTCTGCCATTTATTTTCTCATAGAAAATGAATTGACTCATTTTACAGCCTTCAAATCTTTAGATCTGTTTACAACCTTTCATTGCTTCTTTCATATTTTGTTCTGGTTCAGCTTCTTTCAGCTTCCTTGTGCAAATGTAAACTTATTTTGGCTACTTTCAGCTAATTTCATCTGTTTTTCAGCTGTTTTTTTTTTTTCTTTCTTTCTCCTTTTAGATTATTTTAGGTAACTACAACATTTTTGTGCTTCTAACTTCTTTCTGCTAATTTCAGCTTGTTCTGCTCCTTTCAGCGTATTTATGCAATTTTAAGTTTCAGCTTTTTTCTGCTATTTCAGACAGCTTTTAGCTGTTGTATGTTAATTTAGTTTTTAAGAGCTGTTTCCCCATATTTTGCACTCATTTAAACTTAATTCTAACCCTAATAATAATAATAATAAAACCCTAATTCTATAAAAAAATGTGCTCTCTCCACTCCCTTCTGGTTATTTAATCTTATTTCTGCCTTTTATACTTTTCAGCTGTTATTTTTTGTGCTAATTTAAGCTTTTTAAAATAATTCATACTTTTTTGGTGTTCATTTCTGCTTCTTTCAGCTTAATTAGGCAAACATGTTCTTTCTGCATTTTTTCTGTTAATTTGAGCATGTTTTACCTTTTCAGCTAGCCTTTTAGACATTTTTTTAGCTAATTTCAGCTGTGTTCAGAAAAATTCAAGATTTTTTTGTGATAATTCATGCTACTTTCAGCCTTTCTACTTATTTTAGCTTGTTATGCTCCTTTCAGCTTTTTTTTCTGCTTGCAGTTATTTCAGCTATTTAGCTTTATTTATGCTAATTTTAGCTTTTTCAGCTAACTCCACATTTTTGAGCTAATTTCAGTTCTTTCTGTTTCCTTGTGGTAGGTTGGTTTTTTTTTTTTTAGCTATTTTTCAGCTTTTTTTGTTGATTTCAGCTTTTTTAAGCTAATTTCCTAAATGTTGTGCTTATTTCTGCTTATTTAAACCTAATTCAGCAAATATGTGTTCCTTCTGTTTTCTTCTGCTAATTTTGTCTTGTTCTTCAATTTCAGCAACATTTCAGCTTTTTTTTTTTTTTTTTTGCTAATTCAGCTGTTTTTATAAGAAAGTTCTTCTGCAATAAATATTCACACTACATTTTTGATGAAAATGCAATTTCTCTAGTTCAACTAGTGTTCAGCTGTTCTGCAGCCACTACAGTATGTTTGCTAACCCATTTCTATCAAGCCTCATCTGAAAATATATCAAACTTTCCTCTTTATCTATTTGTCTAACACAGTTGCAGGCAAAAATCCATCCCCACACAACAAAAAAAGAAATATCACCAATATCTCATGATAAAGGTGTTTTGGAGGCGGATTTTTCTTTCACTGTTCACTGTTGAGTTTTTATAGAATCAACACACCTCCAAGTGATAACAACAGTTTTTAGCATCCCAGAACCACCTCCACACCTGCTGTCAGACCCCTAAACAATTGCAATATACCACCACCCCACACATATAACTATAGTTGTTTACACTTTGTTATTGCCTTAAAAAGAGATTAGCATTTAAATTTTGAGCATAGTTTGTGTGTGTGTGTGGGGGGGGGGGGGGGGGTGTCAAAACAGGAAGTGGAGCTCTGAAGAAAGGTTAACTCTATAATGTGTGTTTAGTGTAAAATTAAACAGTGTAACTGTACACAAAATGTGTATCTTGAGTGTGGGAGGTGTCAACACCATAAGCCACACGAGTAAAACCAAAAATCATCAAAGTATGTAATTGTATCATAAAGATATATATAAAAGACGTAAACAAGCAGCACATTTTAAACACAGATAAGGAAATAATAGATAAAGCAGTGACAATAGATAAAAATAAGAGTAAACATGAGCTACATTTACATTTGTTTGGGTCTAGTTTTATAAGAAAAGTGTATTGTTTTCAGGATGCATTACTTTTATTTGTGTTTAATAATCTGAAAACTGTTATGCTTCAGCTTTTACTTTACCAGAAAGCACCAAGGGCCTGTTTGTATGACTGCACCTGAACTGTAAGACCTCTTTGGTGTCACGTGTCCCACTTTCTGCATTGATTGACAGCAACTGACACCATCTCATGACAAAAAAAAAAATAAATAAATAAAAAAGTTAATGGTGTAGGATTTTATTGTGTTCCAAACCACTTCATAATATTGGAATATACCACTCTTATTTACTCATGAATGGGCGTTTCAAACAAATAAGCAGGTTTTGAGTCAACAAGGTCTTTAGTCTTTAAATGACCTCGTAAAGCCTTACTGAGGAGAACAAAGTGCTGATTTCAGAGCTGAGGACGGGCTGAGTGAGAATCGATACTGATTTGGACAAACCCGTCCAGCAGCAGCGGGGTCTCACCTGCGGGTGGTCTGTGATTGGAGAGACTGCTCTTAACCCCGCCCCCTTGCCGGCGCGCGGCCCGCCTCCTCCAAACCGGAGCGCACTCCTCTGCTCATTCCCGTCTTCAAACCGCGTCGGAACGTGAGCTCCGGTGTCCTCAAGCGGACCCAAAACCACCCAGATGATCCGAACACTCCCCCCCGTCTAATGCTGACATAAAGTGCTGCTGTTCGAGGACAGCCCGTCACTGTTTTGTTTTTGTTTTTTTGGATGCGCCATGCATTCCCCTTGGCGGAGTTGTGGCATTCGGCTGGTGGCGTGGACTTGGACCTGGAGCGTGGCGTTGCTCGGTGCCTGGTGCACGCCGGCAAATGAAGGTGAGACGCTTTGAGCTCATGGACACAAACGTGGTCTCAGCCCGGGGCTTTAACTGGTGCTGATGGAACAAACCTGACCGGTGCAAGGTCCGAATCTGTTAAGTTCCCCGTCTGTCTGATCCGCTCCGGCTCTGTCTTTATCATCTGGTCTGAGGAGGTAGATTTATGACAGCTGTTCCCCGAGCCTCTAATGACTCTGTGTACAGATCTGATAATGGATGAAACAGAACCAGGACCTTTGGACTGAACATTGTCTCAGCAGGTGCGCACCGAGGAGCGATTCTGAAAACTGCTCGAATTGCTTCATCACAATCACCAAAACGCTCTCCCCCCTGAAATATCATGATTATTCACATTTTCTTGAGGCTCAACGAGACTGAGACTAACCTGTACAAATAAAGGTTGAATGAATGAATGAAAACGACTTAAATGGGCTTTAAATGTAAATTGAATTAATTTGATCGTTCGGATTTTCCAAGAGCCACATGGGCTTTTGTCTTAAAACGTGAGGTTTGTAGCATTTTGACCACATTAAATAGGCAAATGCATTGTTTTGCAAATAAGCTGTCATATATTAATAGATGCACACATTGCTTCATTCTAAGATAAAATGCTGAGTGACCTTCCTGCATGTCCCAAACAAAATAAGGGAGTTTTTAATTTTGTTTTTTTTTGTAATGTGATACTTATTTCATAAAATTGTGGGGACGGTGTATTGTTGAGGGGGGCTTTTGTTTGTAGAGTGAGCAGAATTTGAAAACGCTATTGTTTGGAGCTATTAGTGCACAGTAAGTTGATCGCTCAGCTTTTTCATTCATTTCACCCTGATTTAAGATCTGGAGGGGTGTGTGGTGTAATGTTGTTCAAAATGAGGTTTGTAGATATTTGACAACTGTAGATGGGGTGGAAAAAGTGACAAATTCAAGATCCTTTACAGAGGCAACATTTAGATGGTATCAGCTGACGAATGTGGGTGTCTCCCTAATGTCTCCAGAACGTCTCATGAAAGGTTTTCAACTATCTTGTGCAAGTTGCAGTGGAGCACATGTTTAAGAAAGTAGTTGCAAACTCGTCTTGAGTGTCTCCAGCCCGTTTCAAACTCCTCTGAATTGTGTCATGGGCTAAAGAAATGTCCGAGCTGTATTTTGACATCTGCATGGACAATTTCCTTTGATGGAAAACATCTTGGGGAAATGTCCACGTCTAAAAATCATCCATCCATTGTCTTTTTATCTGCTTCTTCCTTTATGGGTCGCGGGGGTCACTGGTGCCCATGTCCAGCAGTCACTGTGCGAGAGGCGGTGTACACCCTGAGCAGGTCACAAGTCCATCAGAGACGCACAGAGACATTCTCTCACTCGCACCTAGGGACAACTTAGAGTTGCCAGTCACCCAAACATGCATGTTTTTGGTATGTGAGTACTTGGAGAAAACCCATGCATGCACGAAGAGAACATACACACTCCAGAAAGGTCTCGGGCTGGGATTTGAACTGGTGACCTTCTCGCAGAGGGGCAACAGCTCTACCAACTGAGCCCCCGTGTCACCTGTCTAAAAATCATGCTGATGATAAAATAGTAACTCCAAGATGGGTACAAAGGTATATGTGGATGGAGGTGGGCAGTAAAATAATGTGCAGGGCCAATAATGCAGTTTTAAAAGCAGTTTACATAAATAAAGGCTGTGAATTTTCTAAAACTGCTCAAATTGTGGCTGCACAGTAGGTTGCTCTACAGTCACACATACTTAATATTTAGTGAGACTGCAAAAATAAAATAAAAAATCACCTATTTTCTTACAATCTCCCTACAGTTTGGAGTTGCCAAGTCTTCTCCCATGAGTTGCAGCTCAGGAAAATACCACCTAGGCCTGTAAGATGTCTTGTCAGACATTAACAATTCTGCCCATCCCTCATCAGCCTCAAACTATAAATACATGTTGTGCTACGAGAACTACCTCCATGTCCCAAAATAAATGTTAGGGGATTTATATAAAGTGGTATAAATATTTTACAGAATTGGGGAGATGGGGGTATTGTTGTTTTATCTGCAGAGTGAGCAGCCTTTTAAGAGCCCCAGATGAATAGCATTGTTTGGAGCTGTTCGTCAGTACTGGGCTCTCTGGGAAGGGGAGAACATTCATCAAACTGTGTTTTCTTTACATGATGGATTTATTTGAGTTTAGGATCACACAAGTGACTCCCATTGCAGGACCATTCAGATGTCCAATAATGGGGGGAGGTGGGTAAAGTGTTATCTCTTTGTTTCATCCAAAGCAGGGGTGTCCAAAGTGTGGCCCGGGGGCCATTTGTGGCCCTTGGAGTGATTTTGTTTGGCCCATAACTGCAGTTTAAGGATGGTATAAATCTGGCCCATAGGCTTAACAGATTGATGGTTTGTCATTTTAATGATCATTTTTACCTAATTTTTAGGTTTAGCAGCAAAACGGATAAAAAAAAAATCTCAAAATGAGCAATATTAAGTTTGGCAATGAATCAATAAAATCAAATTAAATTAAAAAAGTAATACGATGTGTTTGTTTATAAGACTTTTAATGTTTTGTACAATAATTTAGAACACCTTCTCCACCAAACTAAGTCATTTTTGTCAATTTTCCCCAAAAAAAATGTTTACACTGAGTAAAAAAAAACCACCCTAAAATATGTACGCTTTTTAATTATGTATTTATTTATTTAATTCACATTTTTGTGGCTCACAACTACTTTCATCTTCAAGGTTTTGGCCCACATGTGAAAATGTTTGGACACCCCTCATCCAAAGGATTCTTCTGTTAACTTTACAAATCCTAACATTGGTTAGTATTAGTAAAATGCATTTAGTCCAATTACTTGCAGATTTTGTGTTCAAATGTTTGATTGTTGAGATTTTCTTTATGCCTCATGCTGATAAACCAGCTTTTGTTTAGGCTAATCATCAGGTTATTACAAAAAGAACCGTGACATCCTCTTTAAAAGACGTACTCATTTGATCATAAAATTAGTCACAGTTGTTTCCTTTCCATAATTAGCCTTTTCATCTGTTTTTATTTTGTCATCATCTTCTTAAGAACATCTTTTATTTTCTCAAAAGAGCTCTCTTCCTCTCCTTTATATTTGACTAAAAACTAAACCAAACTCCTAAAATCAAACCGTCGAACAGCTCAGCCCTCAAGCATCATGTGCCAGAGTTTATCGTTTAACACAATTTTAGGTTAATTTAGCACATATTTGCTTTGCGATGGATAATCACACAATAACAAGCATAATCAGAGGGGAACACAAAGCCCATAATTATATAAACCAAATCACTAATTTGACTTAATTTATCGTAAATAAATAAAAGACAAGATGCAATCAGGCAAGATAAAAGTGGCCTGTATGTATTTCCACGTATTTTTGTCTTAAAAGCAAATTGTTTTCGTCCATTTTGAGGTACTTTCAAATCACAAGTTCAGCTTTTATTTGTGCAAGCTAAACAAAAATCAAACGAGCAGAAAGTAATCCTGATGCTTCCATTATTGAATTAATGGGCTTCTTGCGTTGGGAGCAGTTTTTTTTTTTTTTTTTCCTGCCGTGATGCATCCCCTGATGAATAATTATGAGGAAATCTGTACACACCTTGTCGTGTTGATTTGCGTCTCCTAAAGCTTATCCATGCTTATTTAAAATGATCAATTTCAGAGGAGGAGGGATGCGGAGCCATCTGTTTTAGATTTACTGTGACTTGAAGACATTACGGGCTGTGCGAGCACTCCCCTTAAGGGATTTAAAAACATTTCCTTTAACTTTCTGAGTCATTGCCTGCTGCCAAAAGAAGAAGGTGGGCACTTGTGATTTGTTTATGTAAATGGACGCCAACAAAATATGTTGCACGCCACTGGACAAGTTAAAAAAAAAAAAACTTGTGGAAAGTCATTATTAGATGACGACAGCCACTAGCTTTGAAAATGTCAAAAATGTCTAAAACTCGATTAGTTTTTACAGAATTTGGCAACAAATCTGGTCTCAGTTGTTGATGTTGGTCCTCAACATTTACAGTAGATCCTTGATTATTGAGGGGGTTATGTTCCAAACTCCCCCATGATGGGTGAAAAACTGCCAAGTAGGAACACTGTTTATTTTAGTGTTCATAAATATTTTAAGGCTTTATAAATCCTTCCCAGACTCTTGCAATGTTCTAAGCTCTTAAACCTACATAATTTTAACAACATGCATATATGTACTGTACAGTACCACAACAAAATGACTCACCAGCTCTGCAGAACAGCAGCTTGATTCTGGTTCTGCAGACCTACCCTGCAGCGACGAAGTCCACCGCCCCGTCCAGGTTGATATCCGCATGGATAATTGAGCTTCAGGATTATTTGCGACTTTCCGTTCTGTGAGCTTAATCAATAGTGTAGATTTGTGTTGCAAAACTTTCTCCCCATTTTGGCAAAAAGCAGCGGCTGGAAGCACTGTTGGCTTCTGGGTAGTGTAGTTCTTTGGCTATAAGGTATAGGCTTATTGAAAGAAAACTACAAAATGGCGGAGCCTGTCTGAAGTAGTTTTTTTTTTTTTTTAACTTTTTATCTTGTACCATCCTAATCACGTGAGTAATATTAAAGTTGATCATTGTTGAAAAATCGCAAAAGAGCGAGTCCTCAAAGTTGTGAGGGACTACTGTATTCTGAGTTCTGACCTATCATGCAAGATCTTTCTGGGTGACACGGTGGCACAGTTAGTAGAGCTCTCAGCCAGAAGGTTGTTGGCTCAAATCCCAGCCAGGGAGCTTTCTGGGTGAAGTTCGCATAGTCTCTACGTGCATGCGTGGGTTTTCTCTGGGAACTCCAGAGAACAAAAAACATGCATGTTAGGCTAATTGGAAACTCTAAATTATCCCTTGGTGTGAATGAATGGTTGTAAGTCTCCATGTGGTGATGTACTGGAGACCAGTCCTGGGTGTACCACGTATGTCACACAGCGACTGCTACATATTGGCTCCAGTGACACCTACACCCTG